AGTGGTCATTTAATAAACTTTGAGGACAACCTCTTAACCATTCATTATAAACGTGTTCGTTATGGACGTACAAATGTAGTTTACTGTATTTGCTAAATAGGTTCAGTATCACTACGACAGCCAAGGGCAGAATACAGAGGGAAGACTCGTGTTTATTTCAGTCATACTGCAAAAAGACGGCTCTGCTTCAGGTTCCTTGCAACGTAAAGGGCACATGAAGCGGACATTTGTGTAAATCCGACCATTATGCAGCCAAGGATTACTTCGCAGCATCAGGGCGCCACCACCTTCAGCATCCGCAGCCATTACCCATCTGCTAGTTGTTACAGCAATTCTGTACGTCATGGAAAGGAGTCAGCGCCTTGTTACGTGATAATTAACTCTGTCATTGTCAACTGCGACATCTTTCCCGTTCTGGAATATGTCAGTGTTTGAAACGGCCATGTCGTCTGCCGTCAATAATATTCTTCACTTCACAGGGTTTGTCGTCTGCTAAAACATATTTTCCTTCGACTGACAGTAATTCACTGAAAATAACATACATATGCTATATATGTTGGGACGTCTGCTCTGGACAATATGCTCGTCATGCATTGTGGTATTTCAGCCAATCAATTTCCCTCGTTTTCACGTTGTTTTTTCTCTGATGTACGTAGCTTTGAGCACCATGTCCATCCGGTTCATACCATTTGAGCGCAATTTGTGATTATGGTGCATACTGTTTTCGCACTGTTCCCAGGCATTTGGCAAGATTTGTGTCGTCTGCTCCGAGCTATCTTCACGTGTGCATGTTTTCAATGTCGTCTGCTCCGAGCTATCTTCACATGTGCATGTTTTCAATGTCGTCTGCTCCGAGCTACCTTCACGTGTGAATGCTTTCAATGTCGTCTGCTTCGAGTTATCTTCACGTGTGCCCTTTCTCAATGTCGTCTGCTCTGAGCTATCTTCAGGTGTGCATGTTCTCAATGTCGTCTGCTCTTTCCTACAACTGGGAACTTGCCATCAATCTGTTTAATATTTCAGTTGCTTCGTCACTCGGCTATCTGGAGTCGAAGCAGTGGGGTAGCCTAGTGGTTAAAGCGTTCGCTCGTCATGCCGGGTTCGATTCCCCTCCACCACACCCCGCTATATGGGGTAGATTATCCACGCCAATAGACACCTGGGATCTTCTGAGAAGTTCGAAATTCATAAAAAAAACAGTGATTAATTGTGACTTTCTCTAAAAATGGCGAATAACTATTATGAGTTGCTTCCAGCAGAATCTATAACATAGGCGGATCCAGAAGGGGGGTAGCACCCCCCACATCTTTTTGTCCTGAAAGTTTATTAAATGACCATTGAAACTCGGGTGAAAATTAATTGTGCACCCTCCCGTTTCTCAATAGTATGCACCCCCCTTTCTAAAAAAGCTGTATCCTCCCCTGTACAAGCAAACAAAGGACAAGATCATTTCATAACGATAACAAATCTCGGCTAAAAGCAGAGTCTTTTCCGAGTTGCCAGCCCACAAAAAAGACACTGCGATCTGATCCTTGAAGAAACTCTGATTAACCAATTTTTAAGGGGAAAAATGTGGCTTAACACTGATGATGGCACAATGGGCCATTCGTGTTGGTGATAATTGACTGAAGCGTAAGCCGGGAGCGTCAATACTGCCAGCCGTTCATCCAGACGCCAAGGCAAGGTGGATAAATGGGCAAGATTCTCCCGTTTGGGGTTGTAGGAGTAATATCATCGAGAAGGACAAACAGATTGGGCTTCACATACTGAACCTATGCTGAGATCGTACCCAGATTTTCTGGGTGACAAATGAACGATCCAACGGCAAGGCCACCCTACCTACCAGTTAAAATTCTGTGGTTTGAACCGTGATTGCTTGAATAACACGATGTAGAAGGACGACACTGTATGCCATGACTTTCCAAGACGTGTTAATCTGTAAGGACAACACTTTGTCGATCTTAGAACTGACGCATGTTCGTAGGAGGGCCCGTGAAGATCCGGGTTAGAACTGATCTTCAGTAACCCATGCTTGTCGTAAAAGGCGCCCAACGGGATAGGGTGGTCAGGCTCTCTGACTTGGTTGACACATGACATTACACATCCCAATTGCGTAGATCGAGGCTCATGCTGTTGATCACTGGATTGTCTGGTCCAGACTCAATTATTTACAGACCGCCGCCATATGGCTAGAATATTGCGGAGTGCGGCGTAAAACTAAATTCACTCACTCACTCGTAGAAGGATGTGCAAGTGCGGTTTATCCACCATCCACACCACATCGTTCATAAATTATGTGCGAACAGAAAATGGGCTTCCCATTTACCTATCAACAGTTCACATTTGGCATTTGATGTGAAAGGCTTTTCCCTTGTGAAACAAGTGGTATCATCAACCTTTTTATTCAATTGAGTGTAATGGTTTAGTCTGGTACTGCGCAAAGCTCCCACTCTTTCATATATACTGGCAGTTTCGGGGCATACCTCTTAAAAGGTCACATATTAAGACCGCGGGCGCTTTCTGCTCGTCACCGTGATGTACTGCGTCAGATTACCACTTAACACTAGAAAAGGAATTCTAGTTTTGAATTAGTCCAAAACTGTGCGCCTCAAACAGTTATCGATACCGAGCCAGGGACTCAACATATATGTGTGTCAGGTCAATATGCAAACATGATTAATCCTTATCGATCTTTTTCCAGCCTTAGAAGCAAGTCGTGAATATGGCTTCCTCTTCTTGTGGTGTAAGTGCTGCATACGGAAAGCACTCCACAGTTGTCGTCTGTTTGTATGTCAAGCTGCACATGTCCAGAGAATGCAGGGCACGAACCAACCTGCATGCTGCGCTGCACGAGCTCAAGCGGTGTCGTCTGCCAGCTTAGCCGATCAACAAGTAGCACAATTTATGGCTAAAACAAAGACGGCTTTTAGTGTTGGAGTAGGGCACACTGATAAGGCAGTGTCAGCCTTTGCGGAAAAACAGGATCAACTTTATTTGGCACTCGGCACGTTTTTGGATATATCTGTCGCAGAAATGTGGGCCAAAGGAAAGGGACGTTGTATCGAGCCCCTCCATCTTGGTCTGATACAACCATTGCAAAAAACAGGCAGCTGGTTAAGAGGGTAACGCCCTTGTTGTGTTGTTGACAATGAAACTCAAGATATATACGTCGTGATGGAGACATGTTCTACATTGCACACAACCACTAACTGAAATATTTTCAAGAATATCTAGCCCTGAATTGTAACATTCTGATAACTGGATTTTAGGTTACGCGGGAAACAAGCCGACTCCACCCATAGTCTGGCTGAAGCTCACTTTGTCAATACTAGAATTACCAAGTCTAATTTTGTCCTGATGCCAGAATAACGTCAGCCGCATCAATAATATGACGAATTACACGTCAATAACTGTCTCGCTTTTAGCCATCGTTCGGGCGAAACATATCGCCGTACACAAACATAGGCATTGAACTTTCCAATGCGTTCATTGGTTTCCATTTTGGTGAGCTCAACAAAACGATCTTCCAATCGCAGCATGTTCACGTGTTGATTATTTGCTTGTCGGTTATTGTCAGGTTTAATAGTCAGATTCTAAACTTGGATCAACGACCTGGTGCCCAGATCTATTCTGAATCTAATTGCTGGCACAGGTGACAATGTCATCTAAGGCGTGGCAATTCGCTAAGTAGATTAGCCTCCCTCAGGCGAGTGAGAAACCGGATTTGTGCTTTCCTATCGTTGGAATCGGGGATAATACTTCACGTTATCAACCAAAACTTACTTCAACAGAAATATAGCTCGGATGAGATAAATTAATATCTCCTAAGATATCACTGCGGTAAAGATAGAAATAAATGCTTTCCAGTTCATTGTGGCCTCATCGGTACCATGACGTCAGACTCACATGACGTCACTATAATCTCTGCTACTCTGGAGGTTACCTGGGTGCGATTGTACAAAGCCATCTTAACGCTAAAGTGACCGTGACTACCACACCTTAACATAGACTTACGGTAGTCTTAGCGCTAAGGTTTTTTGTACAACGGCACCTTGCCCTTAAAACTCAAGACACTGCTTACAATTTTCAACAAACTGAAAAAGTTCGTAGAAAGATTCCTCATGCTAATTCCAAGGTCAAAGAGATGCAGACTCGTTGATTGAAGTTAAGAAATCATCGGCCAGCTTGGATAATTATAACTCGCCTTAATATAGCTGACCTCGGAAGACTCTCGGGTAGAATTCTCTATACGTACGCCTTGAACCCTACTTAACCTTCACGGTGATAGCTGGATGGTTTTACCAGATAGTCACGATTAAGTTCAATGGATGGGAAACATGTTTAAGACGCTCGTTGATTGCACTAAGCGTCTAAGAGAAGGGGATTATCAGCACCTGTTCATGGGTGATATTCTGCCCGAAGTCGGGATCAAATAGCAAGTGTAATTCCCCAAATTGGAATTGAACATCTCAAGTTCATCTTAATAAAGTTTTAACTGTGTTATGTCTTTGCTGCGGAAACTGATGCTTTGGCAATAGGACCAATAAAGAGGAAGACGTTTTAATGCTTAGTTTTTATTACTGCGCTGTTAAAATTCCTCAGAATTAAGGAAAATAAAACTTATAAACCATTCTGCTTTTGAAACAGATTTTTTCCCAATTTGCCTGTCAGGGGTATTATTTGAATTTCAGTTGAAAATAGAATTTATTATTGCACTGTTAAAATTCCTTATAATTTAGGAAAATAGAAATTAATAAACCGTTCTACGTTTGAAAAAGATATTTTTCCCTATTTGTCTGTCAGGGGTATTCAGTTTCAGTTGAAAATAGTCTTTATTATTGCACTGTTTATATTCCTTACAAATTAGGAAAATAGAGACTTATAAAACATCCGACTTTTGAAAAAGATATTTTTCTATATTTGCCTGTCAGGGGTATTAAGAGAATTTAAATTGGAAATAGTTTTTCTTAATGTAGGTAAATAGTACGTGTGTGTCTTACCGTAGTTCTTGAGATCTATGCAGTTGACGCCCATGTGTTCAGTGAGGATGAACATCAGGCCCAGCAGCACCAGGGGAACGGTCAGTAGAGCCAGGGCCAGAATCCACACCAGGGTCAGGAAGTACACGAACATCAGAAGCTGGGGGTAGAGAACAGTCGATCAGGGAGGGTTACGGCTTGGGTCTTGAGTTAGTGGTCTGGGCTGTATATTGGATGACAACGTCGGACACAGAACAGGTGATGGAGAGTCTGGGATGTATAACGGGTGGAAGCTCAGATAGGCAACAGGTGATGGTGTGTCTGGGATGGATAATGGGGGACAACCTCAAACGGGGAACAGGTGATGGAGAGTCTGGGATGTATAACGGGTGGAAGCTCAGATAGGCAACAGGTGATGGAGAGTCTGGGATGTATAACGGGTGGATGCTCAGATAGGCAACAGGTGATGGAGAGTCTGGGATGTATAACGGGTGGAAGCTCAGATAGGCAACAGGTGATGGAGAGTCTGGGATGTATAACGGGTGGAAGCTCAGATAGGCAACAGGTGATGGAGAGTCTGGGATGTATAACGGGTGGAAGCTCAGATAGGCAACAGGTGATGGAGAGTCTGGGATGTATAACGGGTGGATGCTCAGATAGGCAACAGGTGATGGAGAGTCTGGGATGTATAACGGGTGGAAGCTCAGATAGGCAACAGGTGATGGAGAGTCTGGGATGTATAACGGGTGGAAGCTCAGATAGGCAATAGGTGATGGTGCTAGGGTACGATGGTCTGGGGTGTATTACGGGCAGAACCTCAAGCAGAACAGACGGTCACGATGTGTCTAGAGTGTGTGTCTGCTATTGGTGATTTTGGCTGTATAACGGGGAGCGATCTCAGGCACATAATAGGTGATGGTGCTACCAGGGTACGATGGGTCTGGGACGTATAACGGGCAGAACCTCAGGCATTTTGACTGTATACCGGGGAGCGATCTCAGGCACATAATAGGTGATGGTGCTACCAGGGTACGATGGGTCTGGGACGTATAACGGGCAGAACCTCAGGCAAAACAGATAGGGAACTGGTAGTGATGCGTCCAGGGTACGATGGGTCAGGGTTGTATTACGGGCAGAACGAGTGTCATGAGGTTCCAACAGTGTGTCTAGTATTAGTGATGTTGGGGCGGAACATGGTGAGGTTTGTTGCATTTGAAGGTCATTGATCTGCGCTGTAGTAAAGGTACACAGGACGTGAACAGAACATAATTAACCCAATGCCTGAAACAAGAGGCCAGGGTTTGTCCTGCGGGGGCACGTCTCTATATTACTGGGGGCGGTGGGGTAGCCTAGTGGTTAAAGCGTTTGCTCGTCACGCTGAAGACCCAGGTTCGAATCCCCACATGGATACAATGTGTGAAGCCTATTTCAAGTGTCCCTCGCCGTGATATTGCTGGAATATTGCTAAAAGCGGCGTAAAACCCAACCCACTCTCTGTATATTACTGCGTGGGAAGATTAATACCAGGGTTTGGTCTGAGGGGGTCACGTCTCTACATTACTGTGTGGGGAGATTAATACCAGAGTTTGTTCTGAGGGGGGCACGTCTCTGCAACAATGCGTGGGTAGATTAATTCCAGTGGCGGAGGACGGTATAAGAAAAGGGAGGGTTGAAGTGATTCATGGCATCTCAGGAGAATGTGAGCAGGGAAAGATAGGAAATACCAACGCCATGTAAGAATGAAAAGATCGGAAACACCAGCATCGTGTAAGTATGGATGTACCAGACACGAGAGGAAATATATTGGCAGCACTGTCTGCGTGTGTGAACACTGATGCCCTAATGACTGAGAAGGAATAAGTAAGCCATTGTTCGTGACATGAACTTCGGGCTTTCGTCCTACTCGCCATGATATAACCACATTACTGTTATGATGCGTTCTCACTAACTCACTCACTCACTCACTCATTTGCCTGTCGTTCTACAGTATTTAGTGAGTTTAGTTTTACGCCGCTTTTAGCAATTTTCCAGCAATATCATGGCGGGGGACACCAGAAATGGGCTTCACACATTGTACCCATGTGGTGAATGGAACCCGGGTCTCCACGGTGTGACAAGCGAACGCTTAAACCACTGGGCTACCCTACTGTCCCCATACAACAATAAAATCAGTTTGCAGTTGAATCACCACAGTCCAAATAATGTTTAGATGAAACTACGTTTATTTCCAAGTAAATCGTTACATGTACTGGGGGGTGTCATTGATTTTTGTACATGACATGAAAGGTGGAGGGGGGAGACTTTGTACATAAATATTAGGGGGGTCATTCACATTGTACATGCTTCTCCATCAAAATCATCATCAACCCCCTAGCCACAAATAATTATAAATGGTTCCATATTGTAAACTACGGTTATATCGAACTCACAGGGATCAGTACTTCTAGTTCGGTATAACCGTTGTTCAACTAAAACGTACATGTACACACGTATATAAGCTGCAGGGGCCAGGAAAGCTGATTCGGTTTATCCGTCAGTACGTAATAAGCGAGTTCGTTATAAACGTAGTCTACTGTACTAAATTCATCTGGACATTAATATCCCCGTCGTTCGCAACGAGTCTACAACGAAGCCGTCTGAAAAAAACATTGACATAAAAACACCCTGATTGGCAATTCGATGTGTATTGATACTCCTACTGATACCGACGTAGATTAAAGCTCATGCTTCCAATCTGCAGGCAGGCAGTCATATTCTGTTTTATTCATATTACCAAATCGCGTGTCAAGATCCGCACATGTTTCACTGCATATAACCAGTCTGGAATATCATGCATATTTGTCCAGTTTAATTTTCTTTTACAAAACTTCACAATTAACTCTGCGATGAGTTGTTCTATACTGTCTTGGAATGACGCATCCGTCTAAACTCATACCGTCCAAACCCGATATTTATTGACAGCTTTAGCTCGGCGAGTATTATCCCGACGTCAAAGATCGATACTACTGATTGAGGTACGTGGTTTTCCCAATCGCGAACGCAACCAGTGTCATTTTTGGCTGAAGAAATAACATCAACACCGTAATCTCATAAAAGCATTATCAATTATGGAAATTCATAAAACAGCCTTTGGTGTGTCTCTTAAAAGACGTATTGAGTATGGAGAACTCGATATTACTCTAAAAAGACATTCTTGCTCAATATTGAACCGACGATCTGGTAAAAACTTTCGTAAGACCTTCCTCAAGTGCACGCATGGTTAGAACATCCCACGAGAGCAGCCAGAGACATTGGCAGTGTACATTCTGCGTGAAATTGACAGAGTACGGCTTCAAAGAAACCTGCCCTCTCCTTAAGCATGCTCCAGTGAAAAAAGAGTCTTTTCTATTTACTCTGGAAAGAAAGTAAGAAAGTAGTAGTTTTTTAGATCATTTTGTTTGTGAAACGTAATACAGAAACTATCAGAGTAGGGAAAGTGTTTTCGATATGGGAGAAATTGGACTGAACTGAATACAATATTCATGAATTTCAGAGTTGGTTGCCATAACCACCAGAAGGAAATGGTTGAGATATTCACATACTGAGGGCTATTTCTCTGCCAACCATTGTCTATAGATGAATATACTGCAAGTCCCGAGAGAAAACGGGTGTTTAAGGAAACCAGTTCTTAGGAACCGTTCATAATTTATAGTTAGGGAGTGGGGTGGGGGTGGGGTGTTGATGATGATTTTAAGGGGGTCACCCATTTCGTTCTGGGGAGCTAGGGGTCAGCAATTTTGTACACACTTTCTAGGGCGGGTCAGCAATTTTGTACATAAAAATATGTTTAAATTATCCTTAGAAATTATGGGCAGGGGGTCGGGGTGTCATTGATTTTGTACATGACATGCGGGGTGGGGGGGTGGTTACCAGTTCTAACCACTATCTTCATCGATGGTTATCGTACAAATTAACATTCATATAGCTCAAAACATAACAATATACTTCGAACTTCGATGCATTAAAGCAAGAAAATAGTCCTTTATAAACTAACATTCCCTCTCGTTTCCTGCATGGACCGAGGGGCGGGGGTGGGGGGTGATTTAAGCCTAGTTCTAAAGCGTTCGCTAGTCACGCCCAAGACAGGTACCATTCCCCACATGGACACAATGTGTGAAGACCATTTCTTTGATGTCTCACGCCGTGCTACTGCTGAAATATTGGTAAAAGGGGCGTAATGCTAAACTCACTCACTCACTCATGTATGTATGTGCTATCTATGTTTGTATGTCTTCAGTCTGCCTGTATGTCGTCATCACCTAGATTTGTCTTTTTTCTGCCCCATGTATCGCTGTCTGTATCCGTGCAACCATGTCGGCAAAATGTCGCGTTACTTGTCGAACCTCTCCCACGCCAAAAAACTTCAAACAACGGAATTCTATTTCTCAAGAGGCACAATTGAAGAAGGATTATGTGAAGAACTCTCCGATTGTGAAGCGAATTTATCCGGCAACCACCGGTGACTTTTTAGCCAGCTCTTCTGCCAGAAACCCGAACAGTGCCACACCGAGTTCTTCCGGCAAGCGATATCGATTGGAATGTCAGCTTCGCTAATAAGGTTGACTAAATACCCATGTTTTTATTCAAAAACGCCTCCATCCTCCAAGAAATTCACAGAGAAACGTCAAGGGTTAGAAAACAGCTTTTGTTCATGTGCTGGGCGGTAGATTCGTGCATGTAGTTTTGCAATGGCGGGGCGATGGTTAAAGCATTCAGCCGTCGTCGAAGTCGTGTCTGTCATGTGAATGTCATTCCGGGTGCCACCGCACTGACCGCAGTGAATATTTCTTGAGTGAGTGAGTATGGTTTTACGCCGCTTTTAGCAATATTCCAACAATATCACGGCGGGGGACACCAGAAATGGGCTTCACACAATGTACCCATGTGGGGAATCGAACCCGGATCTTACGCGTGACGAGCGAACGCTTTAACCACTAGGCTACACCACCGCCCCGAATATTTCTTGAACAGTACTAAACATACCACAAAAACTCATTCATATTTTAGCAATCCCCGCTCCAGCACTTGCGTTCAACATGTCTTTCAATAAACTACGTTAAAAGCTTAGCTTTGGAAATTATGAGTGAGTGAGTTGGGTTTAACGCCGACGTGAACGGCATT